TCTTGGAGTGGCCCCACATAAAAAATTATTGCCACTTGTGATATAACAGGTTGTCTGGAGCACTGCTGAGTGTGTCTAACCAGGGCGAATTACTCCAGCCCAAGACTGGAGCCTTCCTTATAAGGCACTAAACTAGTCACACAGAGCACTTCAGATGCCACTCTAGCTAGCAAGAAGTCTCATAAGCAATCCCTTAGACATCCCAGCTTTACCTGTGCCACAGCCAGTACCACATCGTACGTAGGTGAGAGGCTATAAAACTAATCTCACCAACTCTGAACAGGTTCTCCCAGTCCCGAAGGACCAGTACTGGGTCAATTTATACCTCAGATTGTACTCAAAAGAGCGCATAGTGCCTGTGCTGGCTGTGGCACTCTGCTAGACCACACCCACAGCTGCTAATGAGCCCTGTCTTCTGGGGAGCGCTATTCCTTATTTATATAGATATATTCATACTCTATCCACCACTATTTTGGCTCTTCATCTCTAACTGGTTGGCCACCCCTGCCCTATAAGGTGCACGCTTGTGAGTGCACTAAAAGTTCTCCTATGGTGAGTGGTGCTGCGGACTGCTCTGGTGAGCCATGGCTCGAGCCGGGCTGCGTGGTGGCTGTCCTTACTGAGGAAGCCTCACCACAGCCCCAGTTCTAGCACCAGTAGTGGCCGCCCAGCAGGCAGGGCTGCGTGGTGGTCGGCTGCTCTGTGACCTTTCCTGTGTTTGGGACCAGGGAGCGGAGCCTTTGCGGCTATGAGTGTCTCATGGAGGATCAAGTGAGAGGTCCTGGGGAGCTGCTCTGGGTGTCTGCGATTACTGTCCCTCCTCCGGCAGTGCCTGGCTCCCCTGCTGGCTCTGGCCTGCACCACATTGCTGCTTCCCGATGTCCCGGGGTGCCAGAACCTGTAGTGCCGGTCAGAGTTCTGCAGCGGGAGCTGGGTTCCCTGATTCAAACCAGCGGGTGTCAGAGGAACTAGTACTGCCTGGCTGTTGGGTGGGTGCCGTGAGCTTGAGACTCACACGGGCTGAGTGACCATGCGCCTTTAGGCCCTGACGGTTAATGGCCTGCAGAGGAACTCTGGAGCCACCAGAAATGTGTGCCCACCCCTGTTGCTTGTGCCACAGACACCACTGATCCCGTGCATGTGTCAGGCAGGGCAGGAGCAGGGTCTCTTCCTGGTCGTGGAAGAGCGCTTTGCTGCATAGCAGGAGGGCCATGCGAAGCCTGGCATGGCAGCCTTAGAGCAGCTGTGACCTAGGCAGCAGCGCACAGCTGGGAGGCAGTGCAGGACTAGGTGAGGAGGCATGGGGTAGTTCTGGGGGTGGGGCTAGTACAGGGCTGGCTATGTGGGCAGGGCTGGGACGGGGGGCTTTGGGGATGGGGTTAATATTGGGTACTTGGGGCTGGCACTGGGGGAAGAATCTGAGGGGATTGGGTGCAGTGGGGCTCTGGAAATAGGAGCATGGCACTGGGGGGGGTTGGGTGCAGGGAACTGTGGGGTCAGTGGCTGGCGCTGGGGGGTAGTGGAGGGGTGGGGAGCTCTAGGTGTTAGGGCTGGAATTGGGGGACTCTGGAAGCTGGGGCTTTTGGTGGCCCAGTAGCATTTTATTTGAATATTTCCATATTTATTATGTAAATAATAAATACACAAATATGCAAATGTTACCGAGCCACCAAAAGTTTATGAATGGGTTTGCTAGTCCCTGGTATCAAAAAGATTGGGAACCACTCTGCTTTAGAAACTAAACTCTAAAGGTTTATTAATAAAAAAGAAGGAAAAGGTTGACAGTAGAATTGTTAAAGAAAACACAATACATACATCAGTCGTTAACTTCTTGATTCAGGATCTTAGCAGAGATGTAACAAACTGCTAGCTTAAAAGCCTCTGGAGTACATCCTATTTTAGGAGGGTTATCAGATCCTTTCTGGATCTCTGTTCATAGCAGAAGTCAAGAGCAGGATTGAAGACAAGATGGAGGCGCCCTCAGGATACTTTTATAACTTTGCCCATGTGGAGGGAAATCTATTGTTCTCCTGCGTGATGGTACCTCCCAAACTGGAGCTGATCACATGATCAAGTGACCTGTCCATATCCCCTTGGCAAGCAGCCAAGGCATGCTTGCCGGTTTGCAGGTTCCCAGCTGCATTCCTCAGGTGTTTATTGGTAATCTTGAGAGCCATTGTCCATGCAGCATCGCTGTTCAGTACAGCCATTCACTGAATAAACACTCCTCACAATTGGTGGTCCACGTCTATTGCTGTCTCCTAGGCAGAGAATGTTTAAAATAGCAGTACAGAGCCTGTATTCATAACTTTACATATAAAATCATACAAGTATATGAGTAGCATACATAGAACTAGCAGAGCATAAGTTTTCATTAGACACCTCACTTGCCCCAAATTCTGTGCAAAATGGGCCAAACCCATAACCGTGGGTGCAACAATGATCTGCAGTTTCCTATTGCAACCCAATAACATGACATCCAACGCTGAACTTGGGGGTAGTGGCGGTCTGATTTGCAGAACTACTGATCACTTGCAGCTGCAGCTTAAGTAAATGATTGCTGTCCTTTGAACATATAAACTGCTATATTTGGGTGTTCAAAGTCACTGACCCTCTGAGCTGCATATGATAATCTTCAGAAGTTTGAGTGGAGGTGCATCTGCATGGGCTCAGGGTTCATCTGTATAAGAGCTGACTGCTTGGTGCTTCATGGTAGGAATGTTTGGGGAATGATGTATTGGAGCTTCAGCCCCATGGGAGCAGCCTGCTTGGACTTGGGGCTACAGCCCCACTCCTACTGAAGCCCTAAGCCCCAGCATGTGCATGTTATGGGGCCAAAGTCCTGAGAATTCCGCTCTGTTGGGCAGAAGCCAGAGGAGACATGTGTCATGTACCCACTGCCAGAATTCTGCCAAGGTTTGCTGCACTGTTTGGTCCTATGGTGCTGCTGGGCCCACTCCCTGCATTGCATTTGCTGGAGCCAAGTAGCTGGGAGCTGTGGCCAGGGGGAGAAGCAGCAGCAAACATCTAGGAACTGCAGGGAGAGCAGTTGCTTTTCCCCCAGGAGTTAAAGCAGCAGTCCCTACCCAGCTACCTGCTGTTGCTTTTGTCTGCAGGGCTAACTCCTGGGAGCCTCAGGGATTGGCTGCTGAGGCTAGGGTGTGTGCGCTTTGAGAAGTGGGACCATGTCTCAAGCTTCTTGGGGGGGCTTTTAACTTGTGAGTCCCCCTCATGTGGGACTGCTGGTTTTGTCAGAAGCCTGCTGTGGGGCAGAAGTCCAAACCTTCCCTTTGCTTCCTAAGTCTGGTAGGTGGAGAATGGTGGAAGTGTGTGTGAAATTCTGCTTTTAACTGTAAAAGAACTGCATGCAATTCAGCCACAGTTTGGCCACCCCTATCTACTATATATTTGAGTGCGTGTGTGTATATGTTCAAGAAGTTTTCCTAAATGGTAAAACTAGGGCCACCAAATTTAGTATACAGTAGGGATGTTGGAAATTGTGTACAGGCAGTCCCCGAGTTACGCGGATCCGACTTATTCGGCTAACGCGGCTTTGCTCTGCTTTGCTCCCCGTCCCCCCGGTCTGCAGACCAGGGGGACGGGGAGCAAAGCAGAGCAAAGCCGCGGAACACGCGGGCAGCGGACAGCCCAGGTGTTCCTCCGCTTTGCTCCCCGTCCCCCCGGTCTGCAGACCAGGGGGACGGGGAGCAAAGCAGAGCAAAGCCGCGGAACACGCGGGCAGCGGACAGCCCAGGTGTTCCTCCGCTTTGCTCCCCGTCCCCCCGGTCTGCAGACCAGGGGGACGGGGAGCAAAGCAGAGCAAAGCCGCGGAACACGCGGGCAGCGGACAGCCCAGGTGTTCCTCCGCTTTGCTCCCCGTCCCCCCGGTCTGCAGACCAGGGGGACGGGGAGCAAAGCAGAGCAAAGCCGCGGAACACGCGGGCAGCGGACAGCCCAGGTGTTCCTCCGCTTTGCTCCCCGTCCCCCCGGTCTGCAGACCAGGGGGACGGGGAGCAAAGCAGAGCAAAGCCGCGGAACACGCGGGCAGCGGACAGCCCAGGTGTTCCTCCGCTTTGCTCCCCGTCCCCCCGGTCTGCAGACCAGGGGGACGGGGAGCAAAGCAGAGCAAAGCCGCGTTAGCCGAATAAGTCGGATCCGCGTAACTCGGGGACTGCCTGTATATCAATAATCATGTAACTGCTAAAATTCTTTGCGGTTACACATTTACTCGGTGCTTCTAGCCTCACTCCTGGGGAGCCCCCCACAACTTTGTGCTGCAGCCTTTATATTGATAAATATGCTCATGCTATATAATGCTAAGTACTTGGAGGGGAAATGAGGCTCTGGGAGTTTCAAATTGAGCACCCAAAATTAGTGGATACTTACGATCTTTGTGTCTGTCTTTCAGCTTCCTGTTTCTGAAATGGGGGTAATACCACCCCCTCATTTTATAAGTATTATGAAAATATATAAGCAAATTGTTTGTGAAGCATTTAGCAATTGTCACGATGTACACAATAGAAAAGTCCATGACGAAATTTAGTCTCCCATCAGAGCAACTTCTATCATGAGCATTAAATAAGGTATAAGGCAGTATCTCGTTCAATGAGGATAATATAGTTGCTCATTCAGTGAGTACCATCCATCCTATGCACTGAATGAGATAGGGATCTTGTGGAAGAAATAGTTTTTGATCATGTAATTAAAGACTGCATCATAATATATACTCCGGGAGGGACATGCATTACAGTTGCATAAGCAACCTTAATTCTGTATTTCCTAAACTGAGTGCTTGACTTGGAAGTCTTTGTTACTTTAAAATAGGGTTCTTGTAGTGTGGGGTTTTTTTTGTGTGCATATATGCATAACACATTTAGATTCAACAGATGTGGAATGCTTTACATTGCAAACCTAAACCATCACATATATGCTTCTGTACAATAAGATTGGAGAAGAAAGTGTGGCTTAAATTTTGTGTCTGTTGTGCTTTTTTTTTTTAGGATTTTTTTAAAAAAATGCCAAGCAGAAGATTTGCTGATGATGAGATTGTGATGGGTCGTTGGCCAGGAAGTGTCCTCTATTATGAAGTACAAGTAACTAGATATAATGACCTCACTCACCTTTACACTGTTAAGTACAAAGATGGAACTGAGCTTGAGTTGAAGGAAAGTGATATAAGGGTAAGTGTTTGTCTGTATAATTAACCATATTTAGAATCCATATTGACACACTCAGAGCTAAAACTGTCTATAATAGTAAGGGTGGTGCTTACTGATTAACTGTTCAGATCCCTAACATATGTCAAATAAAAATGCCCCACCAAAATCTAAGTCTGTGATTAAAATACTCTTTAAAAAAAAATAGTATGTACAGAGCAATTTAAAAAATTACTCTTTTTGTCCAGTGATGACTTGGACATGCTCATTAGGGATGTTAAAACAAGTAATTGATTAAACAATAGCGCTCAACCAGTTTACAGCTTTAACATAGGTCTTACTGCAGGGATGAGCAATACATTTTTTGAGATGGGGGGGGGGTAGAGATGTTTGCTATCCCGCTGTGCCTTTGCCTTTGAAAAGGCAGAGGCGTAGCAGGGAACCCACGCAAGGGGGGACCAAAGCAGTCCCTGCTGACATGGCGTCTGACTACTGTGCCTCTTCCTTTGAAATTTACAAGAGCTTCAGGTGGCTCTTGCACATTTCAAAGGAAAAGCTGCAGCAGTCGGGACAGCATGAGAGGACTGCTTCAGTTCCCGCTTGCGCCATTTCCCTGCTGTGCTTCTGCCTCCCCTGCCCTCCCGCGGAGACAGTGCTGGGGGGAACTGAACTCCCCCCATCACTGGCTCCTCTTCTGTTCCTCCCCCCGTTTGCTGCCTTTCTCTGATAGAGGCAGCAGGGGGGGAAGCGACTAATTGAGTCACTTTCTCGACTACCCGATAAACATAGTCGACAAGTGGCTTACATCCCTAGTGGGGGCATGTCAAGATTTTGGTAAGTGGTCAGGAGCAACACTTTTCTATGGAGGGTTTGCATGGTCTGGGACATAAGTTGGGTGCAGAAGGGAGCTTGGGGTTGGGGACTAGGGTGCAGGAGAGGGTATGGGATCTGAGAGTGAATTTGGGTGGAGGGGGTTGTGACCTGGGGTAGGGAATTGGAGGGCAGGGTCTGGGAGGAAGAATGGATGCAGGAGAGGATTCTGGGCTGGGAGAAGGTTGTAAGAGTGGATGCAGAATCTGGGAGTTTTGACCTGGTATGGGAGGGGAGGAGGGTGGAGAAGGTTTGGGTGGTGACCTAGGGCAGGAGATTGGAGTGCAGGGCCCTGCAGGGGATATGGATGCAGGAGAGGACTCTGGCCTGGAGGGGGATGCAGGGTCTGAGAGGGAGTTGGGATGCAGGATGGCTAGAAGGCACTAAGCTAAGCAGCTCCTGGCCAGCAGCACTCTCAGGCAGGCTTCCCTCAAAGTGGCTGGCTGTTCCTACCCCTACTGTGATTGTGCTCATGGGGTCCTGCGGAGGTTGGGGCTGCTCCAGCCTGGCATGGCTGAACATCACTGGAGTTAGCTGGCAATGGGCAGTTAACTAGTAAGCATACCGCTAAGCCGTATGCTTACTGGTCAACTGGTTAACATCTCTAATGCCCATCCCTCTCTCCTAACTGTGTCTCAGTTGCTTCTTGCCTCTTAAATTTGTTCAGTTGTTTACCACTTTCTAGGGCCTACATATTAGTTTCCCTTGAATGTAATGGCAGCTTGTGGAATTATGTTGAATTGTACTCTTTAAGGAAGTCATTAAATAGTCTAAAATAGTGAAAGATGAAGGAAAGATCATTTTTATTTATAAGCAAGTTATTTAAACTTGTTGTTCAATGCCAAAAAGTACAAGGAATTATGTGAATTCTTTTTGTTTAAATGTGAATGTGTGTGTTAGGGTTTCCTAGGCTCCCCGTAAGGTTTAGAGCAGTAGTCTCCAAAATTTTTAACCCCAAGATCACTTTTTCAATTTAAGTGCAAAATGTACAATCTACCTCAAATCCAAATGCCCATGCCCCCTTCCTTCCCACCCCTTCTTTGAGGCCCTGCTGCTGCTCCACAGCTTCTCCAAGGTCTTACCCTGCTCACTCCATCCTCCTTCCTCCCCCATCCTTATTCACTTGCACCAGGCTGGGGTAGTGGGTTGGGGTACAGGGTCTGGTCTTGGGCCAAGGGATTTGGAGTGTGGGAGGGGCTTCAGACTTAGCCCAGGGCTGTGGAATTGGGGTCCAGCTCTGGGAAGGAGTTAGGCTGCAGGGGGACTCATGTCTGTGGTAGGAGGGTGCAGGAGGAGGTTCAGGGCTTGGACTGGGGTTCAGGAATCAGACCCTGGCTGGGCACTGTTTAACTGAGATGGCTTCCAGGTGGTGGAACAGTGGAGTTAAGGCAGGCTTACTCCTGCACTGGCCCTGCACCGCTCCTGAAAGCAGCTGGCATGTTACAGCAATGGCTTCATGGTGCCATGTGCTGCCCCTCACCTACAGGCACTGAGCCCACAGCTTCTACTGACCTGGGATCCCTGTTATTGATCAATGGGAGCTGCAGGAGTGGTGTCTGCTGGCAAGGATAGCATCTGTTCTGCCTCTCTTGGGCTGCAGGGACATGTCAGCCACGTACAGGAGCATCAATTACCATAGAGATAATTACCCCAGCTCCGACAGGTTAGGCATTTTAGAACTCACTACTCAAAGAATTCAATTTGAGCATAAGAGAGAAATGAAAATTATGAAGTGCACAGACCAGTCAAAAACCAAAAATAACAAACTTTGCAAGCACTAAAAGGATTAACAACAACAACCCACGTATGTGTCTGGTCAGGAGAAGAGTGAAGGACAGTGTGTGTTTGTGAGAATGACAGACACACACACACTGTGTGAGCGTGACAGAGATTTGCATTGCCAAACTCCCTCCATCCCTTTCCCTTTGTGTGGATACAGGGGAGTGTGGGGAGGAGGGACGGCCTGACATCAGCACCCCCCTTCTTCTCTTTCCTACACTCTGCACAGCTGGTAGGAGGCTCCCAAGGGGGCAGCTCCAAGGCAGAGGGCAGGAGCAGCATGACAGTGGATGGGGGGGCAATTGAAGTGCCAGTGCCTAATAGCTTCCTGGCCCAATCAGTCAGGATCACCTGTCAGAGGCTCCAGGATCTACCAGTAAATCCCGCCCGATCTACTAGTTGGTGATCACTGATTTAGAGTCTTTTTAGAAAAAAATAAGTATGTTTAAATGATAGGAACATGCATGACAGCCAGTGAAAACTTCAGTTAGGGGCAAGATTGCTATCTGTTCTGGACTTTCTTTTCTGATCCTGAAATATGTTCACAGCAGGTAAAGTAAAGGGATCAGAGAGAATAACGTTTCCATGTCGATGTCCTGAACAAATCCTGAGAAGAGAATCTAAGGCTTTCTACTATTAATCCCTTCCTAATGTCACTTTTCCCATAATCTTTATCATTTTTTGTCTTGTCTAATAAGATTGGTATGACAGATAACTTTGCAGTATTTTGCTTTGCCAGGGGAAAAGTAAAACTTATGTTTGAACGTTTGTCTTGCCCCAGAGGAGTTATCTGAGTTTTTTGCTAAATACTGTATAGGAGATTTTCTTTTCCAGAAACTGAGCAACAAATACAGTGTTTGATTAGTTTTAAAACCTTTTGCTTATTTTTTGCCTCTCCTTTGTGTGTATGACCTATCTTCATAAGAAGAAGCTGGATTGAATTTGAGAAACAAAACCTGAAAGATTTAACTTTCTTAAGGAGTATTTTATACAATCTGAATTGCTGCCCAGCAAAGGTATAAAAGACTATACAAATGGGAAATGAGAGGCTATTAGAATCAAAGTTTACTTCTTTTTAAAAATGTTTTAACTGTTCATTATGTATATTTGAATGCATGTTAAAAGGATTTGTTTGGTTGGTTTGCTGTATGTTAGGGATGTCAACATGTAGACCCCTACACAATTAACTGATAAGCCTGCGTTTTTTGGTTGATCCTGTCAATTACATGCATTCTCCCTCCCACTCACTTGCTGCTTCTGTATCAGAGGCATGGGAGAGGGAGAGGCAGAAGCAGGAGCTAGTGCCTGTGAGAAGTCAGCTTTTAAACCAGCTACCCATGAGCACCGGATCCCATGGAACCACCTGTCCCCCTCCATCCCATGCTGCTGCCTTTGTTAGAGGCTCCCCACAAGCATCGGCTCCACCTGTGCACCCTCTTGCCCCATGCTTTTGCATATTGTATCAGAGGCATGGGAGAGGGAGAGGCAGAAGCAGGAGCTAGTGCCTGTGAGAAGTCAGCTTTTAAACCAGCTACCCATGAGCACCGGATCCCATGGAACCACCTGTCCCCCTCCATCCCATGCTGCTGCCTTTGTTAGAGGCTCCCCACAAGCATCGGCTCCACCTGTGCACCCTCTTGCCCCATGCTTTTGCATATATCAGAGGCAGTGGGGTGGGGTGGGGTGGGGTGGGGTGG